CTGGCCCCCACAGGCACTGAATACATGTGATGCACAGGCATACACGTAGGCAAAACACCTATACACATCACAAAAAAGGAAGAAAGAAAGGAAAGGAAGAAAAGAAGGAAAGAAAGGAGAAAGGAAGGAAGTAAAGAAGGAAGGGGAACCTAACAATCAAACTTGACCTTGTAAGGTTACTAATTCGAGCAAACTAAAGTTTATAGGAAAATCCAGCAATATTTTTGGACAGGACAGTATATAATTTATCATGTATATTTGACCAGTTCTTTAAAAAGGCACAGAAATACTAACATGCATTTTTCAATAAAAATTATATAGCAAACCAGAGCCATTTTATAAATGAGCACAACTGAGACATATCAGGAACTATGAGAGAGGCTTTACTGAGCATCTACTGTATGTTAGTCAGGGGCTCAGAATTTAGCCCAAACCCTGTTAAGTTGGAGGGGTCAGACTGAAGACCAGGATTAATGCTGACTCAGGCAGAGCACTCACACATAACAGGGTACCTGCCAGATCACACAGATAGGCTGGGATTGATTGGAACCACAACAGAGAAAATCAAAAAGCAAACAAGGAAGATGTTGCCACTGTAGAAAAGCTTTAACACCAGAGGCTGCTCAAATACATGAGGAGCTTCCTGCGCATTGTACAAAGACCAACTAATGTACAAAAAGGCATTCTTGATCTATGAGAATTTACTATGTTTTTCTTAAGAGAGAAAACGAAGTATTAATCAGAAATGTGCACAAGGTGGTGATGTGGGATTCCTCTCTGTATGCTGTGATATGTTTTATCACCATTGGTTAATCAAGAAGCTACTTTGGCCTACAGCAGGGCAGAATATAGTAAAGCAGGAAACTCAAGCAAAGATAGAGGAGAAAAAAGGCAGAGTCAGGGAAATGCTATGTAGCTACTGAAGGAGAAAGAAGCCAGAACCTTATTGGTAGGGTACAACCTCATGGTGATAAACAGATTAATAGAAATGGGTTAATTTAAAATGTAACAGCTAGATAGAAATATGCCTGAGCCATCAGCCAAGCAATGTTGTAATTAATATAGTTTTTGTGTGATTTATTTGGGTCTGTGTGGCTGGGAAATGAAAGCTCAGTCTCCATTTACAAAATGAAGCCCAAATACTGACCATAAGATGCCAGGCAATAAAAGGGAACCAGATTGGTTATGAAGTAATCAGAAAGGACTGCTATGGTCCTTGGGTAAAACTACACACCAAGAAGGTTGTACTTCCCAGCTCAGCAACTCACAGAACTATACCAATGGAAACAAAGTCCTGGCAGAGTATTCTGGTGTAGGAGGTCCTTCTGTATTTGTATTGCTTTCATTGGTTGAATAAAGAAGCTGCCTTGGCCTTTTGATAGGGCAGACCTTAGGTGGGCGGAGTAGACAGAACAGAATGCTGAGAAGAAGGCAATGTGGCAGAAGCCATGATTCTTCTGCCTGAGACGGACATAAGCTAGACTCTTCCCTGGTAAGCCATGACCCGTGGTGCTATACAGATTACTAGATATGGGTTAAAGCAAGATGTGAGAGTTAGCCAATAAGAGGCTAGAGATAATGGGCCAGGCAGCAATTTAATGAATACAATTTCTATGTGGTTATTTTGGGGGCGGGGGGAGGGCTAAGCTAGCCGGGTAGAAGGATGCAGCCCACAGCCTCTTCCTACAACAGTATTCGAGTACATAAACCCATGCAGCAGGACAGGGCATGCACTGAAACAAAGAATTGATGGTTCAAAAGACAGTGGCAAGACCAGAAAGCAAGACTAGGATAGCTGTGACTCTCCTCAAGATGCCAACAGCAGATAATTGTGAGCCTAATCTACTTAGGTGAAACCTTTGCTAAAGAATAGAGCAGAAGTGGCTCAGACTCAGCATTTTGGAATATTGATGTATGTATAATGAGATTCAAATCTAAGCGAACCCACCCATGTTTCATATACACCTTATATGCACATTGAGGGTACTTTTGTACAGTATTTTTTGAGTTCCCATTTTGACTAAGATGTGTAGTATATGAATAATTCTTGTTCCATCATGCTGTTACTCAGTTGAATTGGAGGTCTTGCCCAGTCCTGTGGGTCAGAGCCTATAGCCTGTGTCTGAGACTGTCAGTTTACCACGAACCCTGTGATGGTGAAGATGCCTTTTCTGTTAGGAACACAGCTCACAAACCTTGCAAAGCACCTGGGATATAACATTTGCAATATATTTCTCAAAAAGTGACTGTATGATCTAATTCTAGACCTGAGACATTTCCTGCCCAAATCATGTGTATTTGGTTCACCTACTATTAGAGAATAAAGGCACTGAGATTTAAAGGGAAAGCTTTCTGATGTCAGGAAAGCCAGGCCTATCTCTACCAGGTTGTCATAGGTGTTTCCCTGTGTGATCATGGGTAACCACATGTTCACCCCAAATACCACTCTTCACTTAGAATGTACAGCACTCGAGTGACTATCAGTAATGGATGGCCGTCATGTTTTGGTAAAAATCCTTTACTTTAAAAATAGAGGTATTTTCTATGCAAAGCTGAGTGTCTCCCAGAGCTCCAACACCAGCAGATGCCTGCAGGCCTGAGGATAACAACACACACACACACACACACACACACACACATTGCATGAGAGCACAAGCACACTACATTTTAGAACCACATTAAAAATTAATAACAGCCGTGTTAACCATTGAGCCCAGTCCAAGAACTACATTGTATGAGATAACAGTGTATCAGGTTTTCATTTGCTCTCAGTCTTTTAAGCTGGGTCACTGAATGTTGAACAACGAACAACATGGCAGCAGTAAAGTGTTTTTGAATACACAACAATCAAATATTAATTCTAACATGTAAGGACTTTGAGCTGTTTCTGGCGGCACTTGCCTGTGCTACACTATGCAGCTTAACCAGTCTTCTCTCTGAACACTCCACATGTACACACTGTCTTGAGTAGACGAGGAAGTCAGGAAGTGCCAATGGGTACTCCCTCATGCACCTCAGCTGAGACCCTGAGACTATGAGATGTTCTGAATTGCAGGGCTTTCTACTGTACCCGCAAAACTTTCTGCTAGACACACACAGTTTAGATACAGAAAACAAACTTAATTTTTCTTTTTGAGACATGGTTTCATATAGCATATGCTGGCCTCAAACTCCACATGGAGCTGAGAATGACCTTGAACTTCTGATCCACTTGACTCTAACTTCCAAGAACTGCCACTCTGTCGATGCCACCACACCCAGTTTATGCAACACTAAGGATTGATGACAGGACTTCATGCTTCCAAGGCAAGTACTCTACAAACTGAGCTACATTCCCAGTGCCAGCATAAAATTATCAAATCCATTTATCTTTAGATTATGCTTCACCAGAAAGATTTTTAAGAATTGTTGCTTGAAATACTGACTTGAATTAACATTAAGAAAAAAAAAAAAGAAAAAGAAAAAGGAAGTCCTTCAATGAATTTTGGCTTTGGATCAAGACAGAATTTCTAAAAGCTCCTAAAATGGCCCCAAACATACTTCTGCTACTTTGTATTAGGTATTATATGAAGTAATGTTCTCAGCTTTGACGATTATAAAATCAAAATATTGTTCAACTCCAAAAAATGCTGAAGATGATCTATGTCCTTCAGTTTCCATTGCTCAACCAGGGTGCAATTCTTTATGTCGAATAAATAAGAACATGTATCTCATTAATATTGCTTCTGTCTTTAATAAATGGTAAAATATACAAATACCAAACATCGTTTAACATAAGTTTCCCTGTGATTATCAGTAAATATCTGATTTGTATACCTATTTTATATACCTACATACCTGGAGCTGTGTAAAAATTTCTCAGTGAAGGGGTCATGAGTAGAAAAAGTTAAAACCAGTGTTTAGATTAATGGAGCAGCCTGTTCAGACTCATCAGTATCACGCCTAAAATCTAGAAACAGTTAAATTGTGGAAAAAGCTGTTTTGCTAAGGGTTTGTTAAACTTTCATGAGAACAATGCCTGGTGTGGCTCTGTGATGGGTGGACAAACTCTGAAAACGCTCACACCTTTACTCTAAGTAGCGTTTTACTGTGAGGGTAAAGTTTATTAAACAGCGGTAACTGCTTAGCAGCTGATTCTGTCTAGCCAAGAATACTTTATTTTCTCTAAATGCACATTAGCCAGAATTAGCCTTTGTAATAAAACTTATCAGCCGGGCTGTGGTGGCACACGCCTTTAATCCCAGCACTCGGGAGGCAGAGGCAGGCGGAACTCTGGGAGTTCGAGGCCAGCCTGGTCTACAAGAGCTAGTTCCAGGACGGGCACCAAAGCTACAGAGAAACCCTGTCTCAAAAAACCAAAAAAACAAAACAAAACAAAAAAAACTTATCAAACGACACTGTTCAAGCCACAGTAGCTTAATTTTCAGAAACAAAACTTTTCCAGCGATGTTGACGACCTTCATGCTTTACAACCTTTTGCTGTGATACACAAGTATCTAATCCTTACTTCATGGTAATGGGCTCTAAGAACTGGAAACTGCTATAATTTTTACTCAAGTGAAATGAGAGCATAAAACTGGTGGACATAGATACCTTCCAATAAACCCAACTGCCCCCAAATATCTTCTGAACTAAGACTCATGATTAATGTGTCTTAACAAACTAAAATGAGATTTAAGAAACCAGTTTGTAACTGTTTCTAAGGTTTTTTTAATTTTTTTAAAATTTTTTTTGATTTTAGAGACAGGGTTTCTTTGTAGCTTTGGAGTCTGTCCTGGAACTAGCTCTTTTAGAGCAGGCCTCGAACTCACAAAGATCCACCTGCTTCTGCCTTCCGAGTGCTGGGATTAAAGGATGCACCACCACCGCCCGGCTCCAAAACTATTTCTAAAATAATCATCATTATCATCATCATCATCATCATCATCATCATCATCATCATCATCATCATCATATTATTGCTTTAATATAAGCATTAGAATTCTAGAGTCATCACTTACCTGTATGGCTTATCTGAGTTATGGATTCGTCTGTGGTTTCGGACACCGACATATGTAGTACTTGTGTAATCGCACACATCGCACTTATACTGCTTCTGGGTTGAAGACTTGCTCCCTTCAAGGAGAGAGGGTTAGAGACATGACTTGGTAAGACTCACATGGCAGTATTTACTAACGATTAATTACAATACAACCTACCAACATTTTAATCAAGGCTCTCCCACAGTACAACTGTCAAGCGTTAAGCAGCTCCCCAGACTCTCCTGCACCCAGGTCATCAGCAGGCATGAGAGGAACACCATCTGATCTGCAAACATGGGCAGGTAGGCTGCTTCTGTGTAACCATGTTCCAAGTTCTACAGTAGAATGAACTTGCTCCCGGGGCTGTGCTGACTGTCTAGCAGCTAAATTAACCAAGACAGACTGGGAATTTGAAAGATGTTATTCTAATCAATAACTGGCACCAAGTCTTAAAGAAACATTTATTTGTCAACAGGTTAAAATAATAAAGTATTAGGGCTGGACAGATGGCTCAGAGGTTAAGAGCACTGCCTGCTCTTCCAAAGGTCCTGAGTTCAATTCCCAGCAACCACATGGTGGCTCACAACCATCTGTAATGGGGTCTGGTGAGTCTGGTGCCCTCTTCTGGCCTGCAGGCATACACACAGACAGAATATTGTATACATAATAAATAAATAAAAAATATTAAAAAAATAAAATAAAATAATAAAGTATTATAAAGTGTGGCCAGAGCCTGGAGAGATGGCTCAGTTAAAAGCACTGGCTGGTTTTGCAAGGGACTCAGACTTAGTTCCAATCACCTACTTGGTGGTTCATCCATGACCTGAGTCCTAGGGGATTTTTTTTTTCTTTTTTGTCTGTATAGGCACTGAATTCATGCAGTACACATACATATATGCAGCAAAACAGTGATTCACATAAAGCAAAAATAAGGTGTGGTCACAAATCATACATAGCAAGCTACTTACAGAAAATCTAAAGATTTTACCCTGTGGGTTTACTCAGCTTACTGCTAAATATCAGCCTTCAACTAAACTGAGGAGGAAAACAGCTGCCAATTTTGAAGCACTCTATAATTCAGCAGTCACACCTAATAGGCTGACAAATTTTGGGGGACAAAGGCTATAAATCCACAGCTCCCTCACATGTGGCAAACTTGGATCCTATTACTCGCTCATTCTGCAAATGAGCAGCTCACACACAACATAAGCCACAGACTCCATCGTAAACACTGTCTGCCGTGTTTACAGGTGCCCAGCACATCTTCACTCGGCGTTACTTTTAGACAGCAGGGAAGCATGGAAGCTCAAGGATCAGGGAGAGTGCGAAGAGTGTGTGCTCTTGACAAGAAGCGAGCCATGAAGTGAGCCTAGGTGGGAAGGAGTGCACACAGCATCAAAGTAAAATCACAGAAGAAAAGAAAACCCACGCTACAATTTCAACAAAGAAAATTCTTAAGTTAAATTTAAGCTTTCTAAAATTGAAATTTTCTTTGGCTAATAACTACTGCCAGGCAGAACAAAATGTCCCAATTTCCTGGTATAAATCTATAACATTAATACACTAATCATAATTACAATCTAAGTATTACTCTTAATTGGTAGGTTAAAAACTTGGACTTGATTATAAATGGCATTGTTCCAAATATAGTTTTAAAAAAAAGACCTGAAAAAAATGAAGTGTGAAATATTGGATAATGGCTTTTTGTGAGAAATATTACAGATCAATGACAACTAATAAAACTGACAGATGGAAAAGCCTAATATAGCACAGAATGAGAGTCCGTGCTACTTTAAGCAAATGTTTCCAATAGAATCAAGACTGGATTTAAAGTTTAACAATTTGGGCCTAATTTCTGCTCTGCCACTAGTCTGAGAATGAGCAAACCATGTCACCTCTTGAGGCCTCATTTATCTTTTTGACAATGGGAAGAAGTGGACCTTCCCAAATGGCTTGAATAAGTCTTGTACTCTTTCTGTACATGTCTAGGCACAGTTTCTGCAATGTTGGCATTAAAATCCAGGGTACACAAATGACAGGTCTCTAAGAAAGGACAACTTAAACTTCATAAAGAGACACTGTCTGTAAGTCTGGAATTGCCAGGCCAGGACATTTGCTGATGTCATTCCTACTTGTTCAGTTCTGATTTCCTCAAGGGCACTGATGCCCTTCACTGCACTCCCAGCACCTGGCAAGACAGCCTGCTCAGGATAGGCAGGGCATGCTTTTGCCTGACCAAATGTCTGCAGCACTGTTACATCAGGTCTTTGTATGGAAAGCATACTGAGTCCGTATTATACAACAGCAAAGACTGGGGGTGACAGTCATGTACCTTCCTCTCATCTTGTTTAATAAGCTTACAGAATAATCAAGAGAACTGTAGCAAAGCATGAATCACAAACTGAATTAATCAATTCCCCATCCAGGAGAGTATGCAGGAAGAGATCAGCTATGCCGCTACACTACTATGACAGAATAGCAAATGTAGCTATGTGGGGGTTAAAACTAAAAACATGGGGTGAAGCTTGGTTCAAGACTGCTTGCTCAGCACCACAAAAATAAATAACAAATAAAAAAACAAAACTCCCAAACCAAACCTCAAGATGATAATGGCATACAATTTTAAATCTATGCATCTTTAATCCCAGAAGCAAGCATATTAAGTCACAGATAAAAATGCAGATCAGGGTAAGGTGCATACAATGACTTTGGAGTGGCCACGCTGAAGTCGTCATTGAATCTGGGTAGTTTTAAGCCCTTGCTTTTGCTGATGCTGCTGGAAAGATAGTACCAGCACTGGAGTCAACTGCAGGTGGCGCTACTGAGTCACATGTACTTTATTCCCTCATTAGGATTTACGGGCCAATCATGTCTAATGCTTAATGTCTCCTTTAGAAGGGATATGGAAACATAATGAATTAAAATAAAAAGAGGCATTTAGGGCTATTCTCTAGAACGGAAACGAAACTGTTTTCGCTCAGCCATCCACCTCGAAAGCAGATGCCATGTCATAAACTCCTTTTGTTCAGGATGGTTTTACGGGGATGGCATCTGTTTGACAAGGGGATTGTGGTGCTAGGGTGGTGTCAAAATCAGTTCCTTCAGAAACATTCTGGAATCAGTTATGCTTTCTGGGGTATAATTTAATGAGACATTATGGTAAAACATTTTGCTCTGCAGTTGTTTCTAACTTTAATTCTTAGGAAATCTAAAAAGGAAAGTCACCCCAATATGTTTTATTTCCCATAAACACTATGTACCACACTGGAGACATTTAAAGCACATCAATTTACACGAACCAATGCCAGTAAGCACAGCTTATTACACTCTATCCCTCATTCTCTGGATGTGGCATTCGCCTTTTCATGGAACTCTAATTAAATCTTTTGATTCTAATATTCCTATTACCAGATACTCAGCCGACTAGCACCTAACTAGTACATAAAAAGTTCCTGTTTGTGTTTAAATAATGCAGATGAAGTCTTGGCAGTCATACTCAGAGAAGAGTAAGAGCACAGCAGGAAGCCTCAGTTAAAGTTTGAGGTGGGGGCTGCCATCTGCAAAAGCTTTGCCTCAGCAGGTCATCTGGTGCTGGAGAAGAGGTGTAGGCTTGTTTTCCTGCTGTGGCTTCTCTGGCTCACTCATCCAACCTTCTAAGGGTCTCTGCTGTAGCCTGGCTCTTACAGACCCCTACAAATTTTAACCAGAACATCTATCTACTTGCCTGACTGCAGTCCTTGCACATTTAGTACTTCTGCCCCAGAACTAGATGTAAGTTACTCTGGTCGCTTCTCAGAATGTCCTGAGGAACAAAGGGAAGACTCATTCCCATTCCCAGCACAGAAACAGAATATACTCTGTTCCACGTTTACCTCATAAGCTTGTCAGTGCAGCCTGCATTTAACAAGACACGTGAGGATGATGGTGTGTGTGTAAGCATGATCAAAGTACATTCTAGGCATTTACAAAAACGTCCCAATGAAAACCATCATCCTCTACAGTTAATAAATGCTAATGAAAATGCAAATACCTTCCTGAACACACTTTCCATCAGTGGCATCACGGGAAATTCTTGGCTCGTTTGAAGCTACTGACAAGGTGTTGGGCAGAAAGTGCTGTTCTCTCTCATGATTCCTCAGTTGGCTCTTAAAAAAAAAAAAGCAAGAAAATTAACCCATAACACCCAGCAAATACACCTTTATGGTTACCAGGTGGCTATGCAAGGGGTTGACTGCTTTTGGGACCTTTGGCTTTGGCTGAGAACCTATTACCAACTGGATTTTAGGGCTCTTTCTTTCTTTCTTTCTTTCTTTCTTTCTTTCTTTCTTTCTTTCTTTCTTTCAAAGCAACTTTTTCTTTAAAAAAAAAAAAAAAATCACCGGCCTTCCTGCGGAGTTTCCTCCCTCGTTCTCTCTTTGCTACCAGACCTCTGCCATCATGGGTCGCATGCATGCTCCCGGGAAGGGCCTATCCCAGTCGGCGTTGCCCTACTGCTGCAGCGTCCCCACGTCAGAAGCTGACGTCTGATGACGTGAAGGAACAGATTTACAAACTGGCCAAGAAAGGCCTCCCTCCCTCCCAGATAGGTGTGATCCTGAGGGACTCGCACGGTGTGGCCCAGGTCTGTTTTGTGACTGGTAATAAAATCTTGAGAATCCTTAAATCCAAAGGCCTTGCCCCTGATCTCCCTGAGGATCTCTACCATTTGATTAAGAAGGTAGTCGCTGTCCGAAAGCATCTTGAGAGGAACAGAAAGGATAAGGATGCTAAATTCCGCCTGATTCTGATAGAGAGCAGAATTCACAGGCTGGCTCGTTACTATAAGACAAAGCGGGTCCTCCCACCCAACTGGAAATATGAGTCATCCACAGCCTCTGCTTTAGTGGCGTAAATTCCCTTGTATACACAAGCAATAAAGTCACTTTGAATAAAAAAAAAATCACCACCTGGACCCCATCTATTTGCTCAGTTGCAGCCAAGTCCTTACTAATTTACTACTTGATTTTTAAAAAGTTAATATTTTAAAGTCAGGTCTACAAAAAACCATTTGGCACATGTGAAATCATAGAAAGACAGACACTAGGTGATTGCAATCTCATCAATTGCAAAAAGTCCGTCTCTTTTCATGTTCTCTGAACAGAGCTGTCTTCAAGGGCTGGAGACTAAGGAGCAGACGGTGAGGGGATAACTTGACATGAATGCCTGCAAAGAGAAAGCTTCCCGGCAACCACAGGCCTTGTTAACATCTACCTTCTGACACCAGTTAGATGTGCCCAAGCTAGAAGGACAGTGGCAGCAAAGAAATTCCTGCTATTTCTGGAACTTGCTACCAGGGCCTCTCTGAATGTGCTATTTGGAATTTCATGAGTCCAATTAATCCAAGTTTCAATGAAGCAACTTTTGTTCCTTTTTAAAAAAATTCACCACCTGGACCCCACCTATAGGTAATCTGTGAGACAGAGCCTATGACCCAGTTGGCCCATAAAGATTCGTTTTCAATCCCTGGCACACTGAAGGAGATCTAAGTCATGATCCCAGGATTGGCTGAAGGCTGAAGGTACCTTTCACAAAGGGTAATTAATAAGTAGCATTTTATACTGCCTGCTGGCTCAATACATAAGATAAACATCTGCCTTGAATACCCATTCAATGGCCACGTGTGGGGGAATAACCCTGTAATCTCAGCAGACAGGAGGAAGCCTGAAAAAGACTGCAAGTTCAAGTGCTGCCTGGGACATTCAGCAAGACTTTCACAAAACCAAGGACTGGGGATGTACTTCTGCAGCAGAGTGCATGCCTAGAGGGTGTGAAGCTCTGGCCTGATCCCCAGCAGGTCCCTCAGCTGTCCAGCAACAACAAACATGGCTGCCTCCCAGTAAGTCTCATTGCCCGCTTCCCTTCTGCAGTGACACAAATCACTTTCTGCTGGCTGTGTGGCAGCTGATATTGCCCCTTATGCCAAATGCATGCCTGTCAGTCTACTCTACATTCCTTTAGGTGAAAACCAGCACCTAAAATACACACACACGTGAAAACATGATGAAAGCAACAGGTGCTGAGGTTCCAAAGGAGGTGGGCAGCAGACTAAGTGCGAGTTCTGGATAGCCAACTGTGGAGACTCAGCTTTCAGACCCACCTTCAATGCTAATTTGTTGAAGTTATCTCTGGGCAAATTATCAAATGTCCCTGGAACTCATTTTCCTGATATACAAAATGAAGTGGCTGGACTACATCTACAAAGTCCCTGCCAACCCTCATGCCCGCCGCTCACCTTGTAATGGAAAGACATTTTGCACTGCTTACACTGGTGGATTCTGGTTTTACAGTGGTTGATCATGTGGCTTTCCAAGTCTTTGCTGTTCTCAGCTATGTGCTCACAGATAGGACACTGGTAAGGCTGCCTCTGCCGATGGACACGTAGGTGCTGCTTGATGTAGCCCCTGTTGCCACTTGAGTAGTGGCACAGGCGGCAGCGGTAGGGCCGCTCGGCATCTGGGATGTATTCCACCACGTTGGACCCTAACAAACTCCCATCACTGTTGGGCTGACACTGGGCATTGTCCTGCAACTCTTTCAAAATGTCGTCATCTGACGCATTCTGGTCTGTCCTTTCTCTCAGTTTTTCTATTACAGTAAGAAGGGACATGCTGATGCCTGTCTTAACTTGCCCATCTGACAATTCCTGCCTTCCCTCTGGGAGTGCTACTACAGTGGAACTGCTTTGGTTAAAACTTGCCAATCCATCTGAAGAGTTCTTAAGAGGAGACATGATTTTTTTTGAGTATGCTGTCAATGGACCACTGACCTGCCTTTGTCCAGTATCTGGATCTAAAAGGTTTATGTCCCCATAGTGCCCAAGGCTGGCTCTCGTTAGTTCGGCAGCTCTTATTGGCATGGTGACAAGGGCTTCTGCAGCTAAGGAGTGCAGCCTGAGAGACTCAGAATTCGTCCTTCTCCGTCCTGGTGGGGCATTCTCATCAGCAGCCAGGCCCTTACTTAGCTCACTGTCTTTCTTCTCTGCGCTGCCCCAGCCGATGATCAAGCCCCCAATATCAACAGTACATTTATCAGCATGGTAGATGTCTCCTGCACCTCCACACCCAGTCTGGGCATTGGCAGAGCTCAGGCTCTTCCCCTCTTCCATTTCGGTATTCATTAGGAAATGTTTTGGCGGGAGGGTTTCTTCTGCACTTGGCAAACGTTCCACAATGACATTCACGTGCCCTTTTTTGTTTGGGCTGCTGCTAATGATTTTCTGTGCTGATGAGAGCAAACTATCAGCAAACAGGTTCTCCTCAGAATCAGACATCATCTCCAACATCTCCTCCTCATTAGAGTCAAGGGTGACTGACTGGCTCAGGTGTACTCCTTCCTCTGTGCTCTCCTCTAAAGGAGATGAAGAAGACAGTGGTTCGGAGCTGCAAATCTGTACTTGTACAGATGGCCCATTGTGGATGCTCAGTTCGCTGTCCCCAATAGCAATGAAGACTGCATCGACCCCACCAGGTGCAGCGGACACCGAAGAAGCGAGAAGGCCAAGGGGTTCATTTTCATTCTCAAAGATTGGATAGGAGCAGTTAACTTCCCCTGCATGTTTCCAAGCATGTGTCTTCAACATCCGCTGCTGGCCGCAGGTGTAACTACAAAACAAGCACCGGTACATGCCATACTGCTCGTACGCATACCACTTCCTCTTGCCCATCTCTGCCGCGGCTGCACTTTGGACAGCATGGGTCTGTGGACTACCCATGCTCACTGGGATGTCCACCATGGTTTCATTCTTTCTTTCTGTGACTCCCAGGCAGGAGGAGCTGGACTGGGCTTGGCTACTGGCACTGTTTTCATGTTCATTCACTACATGAGCTTCGAGTTCCTCCTGGCTTCTGGAGGTGACGTGGCACTCTGAGCACATTAGCATCACATCGTTCTGCTGCCCGTGCTGTTTGATGTGCTCTTTCAACACAGAGAAGGATGAGGACAGGAACTTACAAAGGCTACACTGGTAGGACATAGCCTTCCCATCAATGGAGGCAAGAGAGTCTGCAGTGGAATTTGCTTGTGACATCTCGGATTTCCTAATCTTAGCAGCAGGGGACTTGGTTGTTTTAGCTGGAATCTCACAATGCTCTAGGGTTTCAAGACAGCGTGGTGTGACACTAGGGCGTGGGCGCTTTTTCCCAATCAGAAGACATTTTTGAGACTTTTCATGCCCCACTATCTTGCTTAACTTCTGGATGACATGGACCAAAGGATCTGCTTTGGCTTTTCTTTGTTCGTCAACTTCCGAGGCAGGACTGAGGACTCCTTCAGCAGTTAACACAGCCTCCTGTTCTTCAATCTCTGGCACCAACATGGCAATGCTGGTTCTTTCTTCCATATCTAGAGACAGTGCACAGCAGAGAGCACAGGTTATAGGATAATCACACGCATATAATGCAGAAAACCAACGTCACCTCTGGTGTCTAATTGAAATGCTTAAATATCCTCTAAGTTGGGAGTCCCCATCAATGCACCTGACTGTCCCCATACCAGACTTAAACAGTTCAGAATTCCACTTTGAAATGTAATCTCCTAGAGCAGTGGTTCTCAACCTTCCTAATGCTGCAATCTTTTAACAGTTCCTCATGTTGTGGTGATCTCCCAAGCATAAAATTATTTTTGTTGCTACTTCATAATTGTAATTTTGCTACTGTCATGATTTTGTAAATATTCTTGTAGATAGAGGTTTGCCAAAGGGGCCATGACCCACAGGCAAAGAAGTACTGTCCTAGAGACAGTTGAAGGAGACCTCGAGTTCCTTGGGAATAAGTTTATCCTGCATCCCCGCACTGCTCTGTCTCTCCCCTAAAATTCTAGAACTAGGGAGACACGGATTCTTTGTTTAAAGAAACAGCCATCCCCAGGGCCTTCGGAGTCACTGCAAGCTACTGGGAAGCATCGGTTGGTGAAGCCAACATGATTTGATACAACTCTGGATAAACTATTTCTTATGCCAAATTTTAACTGTAGATAAGAAAATCACACTTCTCTGCTCAAATCTTTGAAATTCTGAAAATATATTCATTTTAATCTACTAGAAAGGCCACTGAATTTTGGGAAGTACTACGCAAATGAAACTAAATAAGAGCAATGATCCACTTCCCCCTTTTCCTTCGACTTATGGTACACCAGATAAACCACAAACTATGCTGTGGCTTTTTAGAGGTCACATCAGTGGTCAACTGTTCCTCATTCCCAGACATATTTCTCCTTCCTGAACAGGGAAGGGGGTCAGAGAAGGAAAATGCTGCCACTCCAGTTCCGGGTCAGTTCTAGAAAGGTCAGTTAAAGGGTTATGGTAGGCTTGAATAATGCAGCAAGGCCTGGAACTTTGTAAGCACAACATACCCCGAAATCACCCTCCTTCTAGGCCTCTGAATATTCTTTATTCTGGCAGCCTCTCACTTCAGACATTTCCTTTGACTTAAAGTGAGATTATTTTGTTGACTTGGATCACATTTTTAAGTTTAGGCTCTTTTCCAGCAACAAGTTTTGTTTTTCCACATTTTAGGTACATTCTGGAACCTTACTCACAACATTCAATAAATGCCAGCAAGATTTTCAGTGCCACAAGCTATAGACCACAAACTAGGCACCATTCTTAAACTCCAGGAACAGGCTTCACACTCTTTTCGTCATACAGCTGTATCCTGCATATAAGGGCCCTTTAGCTCTAAGCCAGGATCACACCTCACCCATCAGACAGACTCCTCAGTGCTCCCCACCTGAACCTTGGGTCTGCTCCTCCCAGTTTTTGGCCACATTGTATGGCCTTTCCTCTATCTCCCACTCTTTCTTTCTTTCTTTCTCTTTCTTTTTTTTAATATATCCCACTCTTTCCAACATAAGCATTCTTTTCCATGCTGGATAAAAACACAAGTGTTTTATTTTAAAAGCTAACATCAGCTTTTCTTCTTCTAGGGTTGGCCTATAACAGCCACCTAATGGAGGGGCATATTCCAGAGCTGTAACATAGCCATTCCAGCTCTGAAAATACCCCTTCGGAACATTTGTGTCTTTTTGTTATCCTCAGAAAGAACAAGTCTTTTTAGATTACTACACCAAACTTCCAGCCGCTACAGAAGAGACTGATAAAGGACAATGCAGTTGTTCTTCAGGAAAAAACAAAAAACCCCTTCTGTGGTTTCTGCAAAACATCTCACTGTCTTAAGATTCCAGTTTTAGGGACTGGAGAGAGATGGCTCAATGGAGAAAGTGCTTGCTGCATGCATGAGGGCCTGAGTCTGGATTCCCAGTACCCATGTAAAAGCTGGGTACTGGACAGGGTGGCACACACCTATAATCCCAGAGCTGTTACAAGAAACCTTGTTTCAGCAGGGTGGGGGTAGGAGGATGATATGGAAATCAAGAGAGGAAGACACTTGACACTGACCTCTGACCTCCACTCAAGTAGGTATTATGCATAGACCACCCCAAACAAAACAAGAATCCAGTGATTTTGGTTAAAGGGAGCTGTGACTCTTCATGTGCATGCTGATTTCCCAAGGGGCCACAACTGAGGGATTCTTGGTGTCATTCAGTTCAACTGTTAAAGGTATATTAGTTACATAATAAAAGTAACAAAATCCGCACACATTTCCAGTTTCAGGGTCTGATCCAACTCTGTACTACTGTAAAGCCAAGGTCTCCCTTCCCAAGTGTGTAACAGTCATACAGGCTAACTGATAACCAAGAAAACAGTTGACGTTTGCTCCGACCTCACACCCAGTGTGAGGGGACTCCTGATTTCTCCCTTCTACTGAATGATCCAATAGGAGACAGAGCAGTGCAAATTGTTTCCAATGGATAGTTAGTTCAGTGTGTTCCTTAGAAAGTGAAATCAAGAGGAGGAGTTCATCAAAGCTCAAGAAAAAGACTAATACAAAAGAATTTGACACAGCACTCACTTTTAAAGCTGTGTGTGCTCAGGCATTAAGAGCTAATGGCAACTTGCAGCAGATGCTCCAATTTCCCCAGAACGTTTATGTAAGTATCTCATTTTAGAGGCTGCATACATTTCGGGATAAGTACAGTAAGGCAGCTATCAAACTGATATGACAACATAAAACGCATCAAGAAACACCAGAAAAAGCCAGTTTATGTCTGCAGGCAAAACCAACAAGCAAGCAGAAACTCATTAAAAGAAAAGTCTGTTAAATAAAAGGTCACAAACAGCCCCGAGTAAAGTACACAGGAGAGGAGGTCACTAAAACCAACTCTTCAATTTCCGTAATTTTTTCTTAGACCATTCATGCAGTCCATGCGTATTATACACATAGTACATGTAAATATGTAGATATTTATTTGTATATTATATATGTCAACTAAGTTAAACTTCATTTGACTTAAGAGAAGAGTCAGCATACAGCCCCAAATCACAGCATGTGACTCAAATCACAGCACAGAACACAATGGATCATCTGAACACCACCCTTGGACTTAAGAGACAGATGTAAACAATTCAAAGAAATGATCACGGGGGATGGAAGTAGGCTGGGACTAGGGAGATGTGATAGGGTAAGTCAACAGATTCTGTCAGTGAAGGTGGGATGATTACCTGTTCATTAAACTCTTTGTACTCGTCCAAATGCCTAAAGGTTTTCATTACAGAAACAACCAAAAAATCAAAACACAACCCTGCCCAGAAAAAAGCAAAACCACAATCATGTGCAAGGTTCAAAGCAACTAGGTAGGACAGCAGCATTTACGCCCACTCAGTTACTCACAGATGGATAAAGACCAAGCACCGACTTTCCAATACTGTAGTAATAGCAAGGCTAAGCACACAATGGCCAAGTCCTGAGAGACTGACAGGCTCCGCTGGGGAGAGAACAGGCAGTTTCTTGAAGAGGAAGGATATCCACCAGATCCCAGCATCTAGGAGCATGGCACATATTGCTCTCTGTGCCCTCCTTTCTATGGGACTTTCTATCCCAGGAGGGATTTTATCACTATGCTCCCTGGTCCTCTGCCTGGGTGGGTACTGCCAATGGAGAGACATGAGGATCAGAAGCACAGTCAATGTCCTGGTTCCCTACTTCGAGGTCACCCTGGATTGGCTGCTTCTTAACAGAAGGCCAGTTCTTCCCAGCCAGCTGCTCTCCACAAATCTGGTTCTAGGTTTGGTACTGCCTTTCTCCTGATGCTGCTGCTTCCATTAACTCTACCATTCCTGTGGCCTGCCTAGAGGAGCCCAATACCCAGATTAATATTATCTTTGGAAATATAAATACGGCTTCCCTGAGTTACCCTGATGTGAGTTTGCTGTTGTCTGTTCTCTACTGTTAACAACAGGGTAAGAATAACAAGAAAGGCTGAGAGATGAGGAAGCATGCTCTAACACGAACATCTTCTTACAAGTAGGAAGAAGCACTCTCCCTGAGGCAGGGACCTGAGGAAGGTTCACTAGGACCCAAGTCTAGAGACAGCCAAGTGGGAGCTTTTTCCTTTGGAATCACTAGCTACACCATTAGATCAAAAGATCATGTCAGGCAAGTAAACAAACTACTCTCCCAAAGCAGAGAAGCTCTACAGTCTTCCCATCAAGCCTCTGGGATCTGACCTTGACAACAGTAATCCACAGGAAAAAGCTGGTAATTAGTGTCTTTCCCAAGAAAAGTGAACAAATCCAGTTGTCTTTATTTTCTTATAATTTGCTATTTGCTGTATTTGTGTATCTAATTAGTTCCTTTTAGTTATAGCAGTATGATTACAATTCATGTGGGCTTGGAGGAAGGCTGTAATTCTGGTATATGTGAAGACAGAACAAGATGAAGTAAAGAACAGTCTCTTTTACACTAAGGATCTTTTTTTCTCCAGCTAGGCAAATAAACAAACAAAAACCCCAAGCTCGAAACAATAGAAGTGATGGCCAACGAACCTCACAGTCTTTCAGATTCTCAGATATTTAAAATACCTCTTTGACATTTGTTTCAACCAAAAGAAGGTAGGGTCCCTCCCTCCTCTGAAGTGCCCTCAGCTGTGTGACTCTGGGCAAGTTACTGTTTTAGAGTTTTCTGATGTTAAATGTGACAGTAAAGCCGGGTAACTGTTAGAGCACGGAATGACAAACTATCTGTTAAAAGTAACCTAAAGGCTACTTATACTTTAGACCTCCCTAATGTTGGCTATACTTTATTTAAATTTTTTCAGCTCAATGGAATAATAGCTACTAAGAGAAAACCAAAGTATAACTACAAGGACATGGGTTTCATAGTCTTGAGTTTCTGAGCTGGCACCTAGCCTGAGACAATATTCTGCTTAGCTGCTACAACTAATACACAGGCCCGATAAACATCAAGCAGTAGTCAGCTCAGTGTAACTTATGAAACACCCAAGGCCAAGCACAGTGTTGGAGACCACTGTCTTTGAGCTGAGAACTCAAGGTCGGGCCTTCATCCATTTCCTGTAACATTCTGAAAATTCCTGGTACCCAGCCCCTGCTTTGGAGCTGGGTATATAAAGCAACACACTTGAGACTCACAGATGGGAGGCTGAGGGACTGGAAACCATGCCAATTTCCATTCTCAAGGTGAACAAGGCACCCACTCGGGGAAGGGAAACAGCTCCCTGTACTAGATCCCCAGAATTCTTTGGGTCTAGTTATGAAGATGACACGGTTTATAAATAAGGCAACTCAGGGAGGTGGAAGTGACTTACCCAAGGTTACATGGCTGTTAGTGGCAGAGCCAGTGTATTTCCAATCAATTCCTGAAATTAAGGCGGTCTCCTGGCTCAATCTTCACAATCCAGCTGCGGTCAGGAAGGAAAGTAAACAGAATCAAGCAATTCTCTTTCTTTGTGAAACAAAGAACTTATTTTGGCGGTGAAGAAACTTCCAATACTTAACATTGAAAGGAAATTTCAGAAGGCTGTTCATGCAATGTAATTACGTGAGACCAATTTACATAATTCACTTAACAAGTAGAGGATTCTGCAGAAGCTAAAACGAATGAGTCTGGAAACTCTTGTGTATTTTAAGCCTCCTCCGCCCCCCCCCCCACCTTGGAAGTAATTTACTCCGCAAACTAGTGGTTTTACTGACATAATTTTCTAACCAATACGCAATAATAAATGACATATTGCTATTGTAACTTTAACCGAAATTACAGCCTAAGGCGTGATTATGTAAACTAGTCAAACACAGTGGGCAGAAGGGTAGCATGACCAGAGATGACGGAGTGGCTTGACCTATATATCTGCCAGTGCAGTTTCCTGCCCTGGTCCTCCATTTCTTTGCTACCGTTTCCGATAGCTGCTTTAAGTTAAAGTATGCTTCTTCGGTTCGAAGTAGAAAGTAACTTAGCAATTATAGTTAAGTAAAATTAGTTCACTGCTAGGGCGTCCTCTTAATTTCCAGCGAGTTGCCGGGGTAAAGAAAAGGGCCGGGCCGTTTCTTTTAATCAATAAAGCAATCCATACACTGAATCAGACTTCAGTACAGTGGAAAGTACAAATTCAGAAAACGTGATAAATCCAGTAATTGCCTTGAGCGATGCAGACTGATAGCAAATTCCAGTCCACTGCAGGAACCTAAAAAGGCCGCCCTGGGGTTGGGGGGCTGCCTGGGCCTAATTAATCACCCAGGCCTCGCACTCCAAACAAACGATCGGGATTGCCCCTGGTCTGGAAGGGTGGACGTTCTCCCCAGCGGTCTCAGCGCTCTCTGGGAATATCATCCCAGAGGATGTGTGAGTGTGGGAGGCCAAGATTTCTATCTTTTGCACTCGTTTTTTTCCTATATCACGCAGTGGGCAAAGGGCCGGGGATTACAGAAATTTAAGCTCCATCCAGGCTGGGCGAAGCGGTTTCACGTCTCAGGAAGCAAAAGCCGCCTCAGCGGGGCCTGAGGAGCAGCGGGCCCCCACCCCCAGGGCCCGGCGGGCCCGGGGGGTCTCCACAGGCCCGGCAGAGGGACGACAGTGCACACGGGGCCCCGGCGCTCCGGTACGTGGCAGCGCCGCGGGCGTCACCGGCGAGGAGGAAGCGGGCGTCACCGGCGAGGCCGCACATGGCCCGCGGCGCTCAAGCGGAGGGGCGGCCCGGGGCTCGGTACCTGCGGTCAGGCGGCGGGCTGCTGCTTCTGCGAGCCTCCTTTGGCCGGCCGGGACCCTGCCGTGCCCTCGCCCTCGTCCTCGCCCGCCTCGCTCCTGACTCTTTTCCCTCTCTTTTCCCCGACTTGCCCCCTCCTCGGCCGTGGCTCCAAGATGGCGGCGCCGAGACGGATCACGTGAGTGGCGGGCGGGTCAGGTGAGCCGGGAGGCGCGCGGCTGGAGGCGGGGCCACGGAGGGGGCAGAGCCGTCACCGGCCACGCCCTCCAGCGGCCCGGGTGTATTCCTGTCAGCCCTAGCGTAGGTGGGTAGTGTAGAACTCAATGAACATGCACTTTGGCCTCAGCCTGCTGGGGCATTCTTCATCCCCTCATCTACGCCATCTTTCTTTTCACCCTGTGTGTGTGAATCTGGTTGGACTATTCTTTTAAAACAATGTATGGGGGCTGGAGAGATGGCTCAGTGGTTAAGAGCTCCTGTAGAGGACCTGGGTTTGGTTCCCAACACCCATACGATGGCTAAGAACTATGTCTGACTCCAGTTCCAGGGGACCTGAAGCTCTTACTGTCTTCTGACCTGTACAGACACCAGACACATACATGGTACGGACAGACATGTAGGTAAACCATTCAGGCACACAAAATAAAGCTAAATATTTTTAATTATTATTTACATATTTATTTGTGTTTGTGGAGTCTTTTGCTAGCCAGAGGACAACTTTTGGGAGTCTGTTCTTTCCTTCCATAATATGGGTCCTGAGATCAAACTCAGGCCTTCTGGCTTGGCAGCTCAAGCACCTTTGCCACTGAACCATATATCCTGCCCTGAGTACCGAGGATCGAACCCAGGGCCTTGCACACACTAGGTAAGGGCTCTGATCTGTATCTCCTATCCCTCCTCTTCTTTGAGTTTTTGAGACAGATGGTTTGGTCTGGCTTCTTATTCCTTATGTAGCCCAGGCAGATCTTGAAGTTGTGATCCTCCTGCCTCAGTCCTCCAGGGTAGCCAGGAGTGTAGCTGTGCCCCCACCGTGTCAGGCTCTGCTTGGAACTATTGTCTTTGAGGCTGTGTGTTTGGAAAATGTAGAGGTCCTAACTGTGTGCTGTTCAGGCGTCTGGCAGCACCGGCACTGGGGACTCTTTGCTTGAAAATACTTTTCCTTTTTAAAAAAAAAGTTTAAAATGAGAAAAATTGCATATATTTATTTGGGTGTGAGTGTCCCACAGCCTGTGTGTGGAGGTCAGGAGTTGACTTCTTCTACCGTATAGGTTCCGAGGATTAAACTCAGGTTGTCAGGCTTGGCTGAAAGTTCCTTCACTTGCTGAGCCATCTTGAGATTCTTGAAAGATTTTCAGGGGTTGTGGGAGCTTAAGTGAGCTTGTGAGCCGTTCGGTTTGCTGTTGGGATCTGTTTCATGAAGTCCGCACTGTGCTGTAACAAGCCCTCGTGGGCCCCGTGCTGACATCGTGAGATGCAAAGGGGGCGAAGCTTCCAAGCCTGGAATAAGCAGGCAGTTAGGGGACAGCAGGAGCGACAGAGCCAGGAGGGTCTGCACTCAGTGGGCGGGCGTGCACACGAGGCAGGCAGTTGGAGAGAATTCTGGGGATGGTCTCAGCGGGACTTGAGAGGTGAGGTATTTTTGGGGTGTTTCCTCATATATTTAGAAACCCTGTCAAGCATTTTGGCTTCTGAGTCATCAAATTCTGAGTTACCAAATGAGAGGAAGACCCAAAATATGTGCAAAAAATGTGTCCTGGTGTTGTTGGTTGTTTCCACTCTTTACTCTTTGTGGGGGCCGCCACCGAGCTCCCAAATAAATACACGTACAGAGGCTTACTATTACTTATAAATGCCCAGTCTTAGCTTGGCTTGTTGCTAGTCAGCTTTTCTTAAATTATCCCATCTATCTTTTGCCTCTGGCCCTTTTCTTTTTCCTACTTCTGTTTATCTTACTTTCGCTCTTACTCCATGGCTGGCTGTGTAACTGAGTGGCTGGCTCTCTCTCTTTTCAATCCTTGAGCTCTTGCTCCTCCTCCTTTCTCCCAATTTTTCCTTCTATTTATTCTCTCTGCCTGCCACCCCCCCCCATCCCTTCTCCTGCCTTGCTATTGGCCGTTCAGCTCTTTATTAGACCAATCCGGTGTTTTAAGTAGGCAAAGTAATAAGAGTTTCACAGAGTTAAACAAATGCAACATAAAAGAACGCAGCACATCTTTGTATCATTAACCAAATGTTTCACAGCATAAACAAATATAACACATCTTAAAATAGTAGTCTAGAACATACTAGAGTTTAGGTGTGGCTGCCATCGTATTTACTGGATCTCTGGATAAAAATTCTCCAGCGGGGTTTGCAGAGATGGTTGAATGGTTAAGAGTACCTTCTACTCTTCTAGAAGACCTCTTGGTTCTCAGCACCCAGGCCAGGCACAGTCACCTGCATCCCCTGCATCCCCTGCATCCCCTGCATCCCCTACTCCAGGGCAATCTGGCACCTATAGATTCCATGGGCAACCTGCACTCACTTGCACATACTTCTCCCCAAACATGCATTCAAAATAATAAAAGCAAATCTTTGGGAACAGGTTGCCAGCCTTCGAGGGTTGGAAAACCAAAGAAGTTAGAATTCTGTCTGTTGCTTCCCAGTCTCCTTCACCATTTGGACCAAATAGTGAAAAAGCAAAAAATAAATGGCTGAGTATATGGGGAGCACGGTGGCAGGTTATCAGCACGGAAGGGTAGAAGGAGGAAAAAAATGGGGTCAGCCCCATATAGGGAAGCATGAAAGGGGGAAACAAGTGACAAATAAGAAAATGTCACCCCCTCCTTTCTTTCCTCTCTGCTCCCCACCTCTTCCCCTACCTCTCTACCTTTCCCTTCCCTCCCTCTCCCCCTTCTCCATCTCTTCCTCTATCACTTCCCTTCCCCTTTGCTCCCCTCCCTACTTCCCTTTTCCTTCCCTGGTGTTATTGACAAACAAACAAACAAAAAAAGAAAAACACCCCCCCAAACTCCTCAAGGTTGTAAGTGCCGATGTCTATTGTGATATCCGTGGATCTGAAAGTTGATACAAAAGAAATCAAGGATTTCATGGGTCAAGGGACAGAGCAAAACCATGTTAGAGAAGTGGACTGTGGCTGAGGATCGGAGGTGGTGCTTGCTTAGTGCACACAAGGTCCTGGGGTCCGAATCCAGTGCCAGGCCCACATGCGTCCCAATCCCAAACACAGAAAGTACCACCCAGAGGAAACAGAAGACTTCTGAGGAAAGTGAGATGAGCCGATGCAGGTTTTGTCTGAAGTTCTGGCCGTTGTTCCTGAGATCCACTGCTTGCCATTGTCGGTCTTCAGCACAGTTAAATCAAATTTCCTGGCCTAGTGGCTTGAGGGTGTGGTCTGTGACTGATGTGGGCTGATGAGGTGTGTGAAGAGTGAGTCACCCCAATATTGGAACTTCAAGCTGCCAGTGCAATGCCTTCTATGGTCTTCTTTTCCATTGGTTTGGTGACTGGCAGTTTTTGAGATAGATGGGGGATACCCGGTCAGTCTTTATCACAGGGTGACAGTGGGCCTAACTGATTCATTGCACACAGATCTGAGGGTCACCATTCCCTGAGCTCTGGGAGCTTTGTTACTGCAGTATGCCTAGCGAAGACCAAGGTATCATGGAAGCAACTGGAAGAGGCACTGGAATAAACCATTCCAGGTGGAAAGGAATGTTAATAAAATAATCAGGAAATAACGCTGAGACTCACACCTTCTTGGGGGTAGGTGGGTAGAATTAGGAGAGAAGGTTTGATTGTTGGCTTGTTTATTCATTTGTTTTTGATTACTTAACACATGTGGAGTCATCCGGGATGAGGAGCTAATAATGGAGAGAATGTCTCTGTTAGATTGGCCTGTGGGGGCATTTTCTTGGTCGATGATCAATGGGGAGGGCCCGGCTCATTGTGAGCAGTGCCATACCAGGGCGGGTGGTCCTGGGTTCTATAAGAAAGCAGGCTGAGCAATCAGTTGGGAGCAAGCCAGGAAGCAGTGTTCCTCTGTGGTCTCTGATTCAGTTCCTGCCCTTGCTTCTCTAATGATATACTGTAACGGACCGACCAAATCAACCCTACTCTCCCCAAGCTGGCTTTGGTCAATGCTTTATCATAGGAATGAAACCAACTAGTACAAAGGAATGAAATGCGGAATCTGAAAAATGCAGACAACTTCAAAAACCCTGTGACACAAAACTTTAGCAATTGCATACATACATGTATATATATACACACACATATATGTACACGTACCCGTGTAAATATCTAAACACACACCCACCCTCCCACCCCCCACTTTTGTAGTGCTGGGGCTGGAATCCAAGGCTTCATTCCTGATATCCAAGTGTTCTGCCACTAACTACGTTCTTAAATCCCCTTTCATGTTTTATTTTGAGATTGGGTCTCACAGAATTACCCGTGCTAGCCTTGAACTCTTGTCTGTAACCCAGGCTGACCTGGGATTTTCCATTCTCCTGTGTCTATTTCTGAGGAGCTTATATTAAAGGCCTGCATTGCCCGTTCTGCCTAATACGACTTTTTCTAAAAAACAAAACAAAAAACCAAACAACAACAACAACAACAACAACAACATAAAAACCTCTACAGAAAGATTGCAGCAAATGTTTCGTAGGGTTGAAGGAATGCAAAGATCCAGGCATCATTCCACTGAGCTTGCGGACATCTCAATAAACTCCCAGCACCTTGCACCTCCCCCAGAATGTTTTTTTTTTTTTAATCATGATTTAATTAACCAGCCGTAGCAAGATTTCATGTTCCAGATAGGGAACTTGCTTAGTCAATTATCTAGTACTTGTTCAACGGGATCTGATTCTGTTCTCGGATGAGCGATGACCCTGATAACCAAGTCCCTGTCTCCACACACCTCATTATTCTACTTTGGGGTCCTTAATTAGCTGATAAGGTTAAAGGTTTCACTCCTGCAAGTATCATGGGTCTGTATCTTCTAAAGTGACCGTAAAGTCTGATACAATTTAAACCAGCCCACTATTAAAATTTGGGGACGCAAAAGACAGTGTAATACATGGCAAGTTGGTAACTGGCCAGAAGCTGAATGAGACACTCGAGCAGTTAGACCCTGAGGGAGTCTTGTTTCTGGATGGGTGA